TCCTCTCAAAGGCTGACTGATATCAGAGATGAAGTCACCTGTGTCAGTCTTCTTTTGAAGATTCGGGTGGTTCAGTGTGAGGCCGAAAAGCGTTCCATTGTCCTCGGTTTTGACAACGAAGAGTGGTTGGAAATCCACGGAAAGCAGCTGAATGCAGGAACAAGACTGAGTGAGGAAGACGTAAAAGCCATAGATGCTGAAATTAACGAGATCCGAAAAAAGTGTGGTTTGGAAGGTCTGACTCCAGAAGAGAAAGTAATGATAGTGAAGGCGATGAATTTTTCCCAAGGGCATTGGTACAAGTGTCTCAATGGTCACATTTACGCAATTGGCGAATGTGGTGGAGCCATGGAAAAAAGAAAGTGCCCTGAGTGCGATGTAATAATTGGTGGAACCGATCACACTTTGGCTCAGGGAAATGAGGTAGGTGTAATTTCCAATTATAATTGGTTTAACCACACATCTAGCCAATCAACTGGAAGTGGAATACCGTAAAATTCCGAAAATAAGCCCCGGAGCTTGTATTTTTCAAAGGCCCTTTTTGAGGGGTTTATTTTTGGAGGGGCTTACATTCGGAGGGGCTTATGTACGGAGGGAAATTTGCGTTTCAAAATCGATTAAGCTGGCTTGTAGTGGGAAGGAAATTTACCATTTTTGCTTTGTTTTGCTTTGTATTCGAGGGCAAATTCCAAGTACAAGCCCCCCCGGGGGGCTTATATTCGGAGGGGCGATTTTACGGAGGGTTTTTTGCGTTACGATTTTGGGGGGCTTATATTTGGAGGGGCTTCTACATGGAGGGGCTTATTTTCGGAATTTCACGGTATCTTAAAGATAAGCTGTTTCGCACGTTGTCCTTAAGATTAGTAAACGTTTAATTGGACTTAACGATACAACCTCAACAGCAAAGCATATGGCTCTACAGGCACAGTTAGCGACATTTCAAATAATTATGTTGTAATCTCAAAAATCGTTTCCTGAGTTTTTGTCATTTTTATTTTCCCCTTTAAATCAACCAGCTTTGCTCGGTCTCCCGGTTGTTGACTTATTTGCATACTTAAATGATGTTAAGAAAAGCAAGTTACACGCGTTTTCTTAAACCGAATTAAATGAGAACTTGAGTCACGAGCATTCTTTTTGGACGTGGATTATCTCGTGGCCAGAGACCTCGTAACGCTCTAAGGCACTACTAAACAAGAGTAACGCGGCCTTTGGCAAAGAGATAGGGACTTGGTTGACTAGCGTTTGCTTCACTGCGGCATAGAAACGGGGAACGTAGTCCTCCTTGCAAGTGTACGTGGCTGGAAGCCATTTATTTGCCAAAAAGGCTTTTCAGTTATGCTCTCTTACCATCTTCACTTTTTGACTTTTTTTCTTTTTTGGCACTTCTAACAAGGTTGCAACTGAAATGGATGGAGCTTTGTATCCTGCTTGGTCCAATCAAACCAATTTGCATAATTACGACCCAGAAGAACTAAGACGCCTTCAGTTTTACGATTGAACCGTTAGTAAAGACTAATCACACCCTAGTAAAGATGTTTTCTAAAATTCTGATATCAGCACGACATTTGCACGTAAGTGATTAACTGAAGTAGCCGATGCACAGCGGAAAAAGTGCGTCAGTTTTCTTGAGTCATGTGTAGATTTCATAACAATTCCTACGTAAGTGGAGGGACAATCAGTGATAAAGTTGTTGAGATACCGTCGTCAGATGTGGTATATTTAAGAAGAACAAAACAATATGGACCCTTCCCCCTCCCCTCTATTCATAGTTAAGTTGTTTGTTGTTCCTTACGGGTAGCTTGAACAGCGACACAACTCTGTTTAGAATGGGTGGGAGGAAAAGCTTCGTTTTCCTCTTTTTAATGAAGTAGATAATGTCGGCAAAACGTGATGAATGTCCATAAAGACGAAATGTCTCGACTACTTGACGGCAGTTGAAGACGTTTAAGATGGAATCCATCAGGAAATTGAGTGATATGTAATTAGTTAACTGTAACTTAACACCAAAGAAAATTTCTCATGAAAGCGCGGGAAAATAAATGTCAAATTTCAAAAAGTGACATCTTGAGATTTTCAGAATTTTACTTGTGTTTTCACAATTCTTGTGAAATTTGATATTTATTTTCTCGGCTTCCATGAGAAATAATCTTTGGTGTTATTGCAGATGGATTCCGTCTTAAAACCAATCACGAATCCTTGCACTGTAAAATTAGAAGTTAAAACAATACACTTCTTTAGGCATCAGACAAGTATGACGGCAACACTAAGGAAACGCACATTAATTTTTTCTTTTCAAAATGTGAAGTTTATTTAGTTTTTCTTTTGTGGCATTATTAACCTCGTTAAGTATTAAAATCCGTTAAAAGCTAGTTAAAAAAATCACTATCCAGCTGATAAGCATTAGGGAAACCAATTACGTTACCACTGAACAGAAAGTTATCCCGTGGGTAGCACTATCCACCTTTTGAACAACTGGATCCTGTACTAAAACGTTACAGCGAAATTCGTTGTATCGCGCTGCGCGTTTTGCATTCTTCGAAGGAATTTTGGGTTTTTCTGTTCCGTCAATCATCTTAGCGGACCTCTTAGGAAACACATGTTTACCTGTGATTGGTGCATTTCGATCCACTTTGTTTGTTTCTGTGTTTCAAGGTTCGTTGCTTGTGATCGCCCTGTATCGGGCAATAATCGACTAGTTTTCGTCGAAGATTTTTCTGATCTTTCTTACTCGTCCCTTGCAAGTATAAAGCAATGTCTGCCTACTGCCCTCGATAAAAAGTCAACTCATCATCGCGATTTCCTTCGCTATTCTTGAGCAATCTAGAGACATTCTCAGTTTTGTCTGTTGCGGGCCAGGCTGGGCGAGTGCGTTGTATTGTGATTTGCATTAACTCCGCCCCCACTCAAATGATTGACAGAACAGAAAAACCCATTCGAAGTTTGCAAACGGACAGCGCGATACAACGAATTTGGCTATAACTACGCAGTTCCTAAAAACCTCAAATTTCACTGGTTCTCCATAACACGCAGCTTTATTTTTTGTCTATTGTTTTCACAGCCAATAAAAGAGATACGTTCCACGAATGTTATAGGTTTCACTCCGGTTAGGGGCAATCTAATTTATTTTGTCTGAACTGTCCGATTCGCCTGTGTCATAGATTGACAAAAATTAGTTTCAGGGGGATGTATTTTTTTATCGAGAGTTTAGAGGATTCTTTTCATGATTGAAGAAATTTTGTCCTCCGAGTGACCCTTCTTTTCTTTCAAAGGTTGACCACAGGTCAGTGAAATTCGGTTTATTTTAATTTCTTGTTGTTTGTTCGTATTAATTAATGATGTGAAAGGTTTGAACCCAGGAATCATTTCAAAAGTAGGTTGAGTTTGATCGTCCGGCCTGGCAGTCGCAGCATTTGATCTTGTATACTGCTCCCTGTCTGTCCTCCGGTTTGCCTTGGCCTTGACATTAGTAAGCAGTCGCCGTAAAGTGCGACTGCCAGGCTTCTTACATTGGTGAAACGGGCAGAAAACCTAAGCACGCGACTGACCAAACACAAACGCGCGACGAGGAATGGTGACGTCAACAATAACATTGCTGAGTACCATTTACAGACGAAACATCAAATTACTGGGACTCTGCGACATGTATTCTACAGACTACTATCGACGTCTCACTTTAGAAAGCTGGTTTACCAACTTAGAACAAACGCCACTGAATGGTAGCCAACAGTTACCAGCGCCGTACAAACGACTTATTGACGAGATCAAGCAAAAGTAACTACGAGAGAACGACTAGAGAACTGACAATTTGACTAACAATAGACGACTGTTTAACTGTGACAATAGACGGATCGAAACGCACCAATTACTGATTACGAGTCTTCGTAGCCAATAACATCACTGCTTAACTGACAGACGACCAATAACATCGCAACGTAATTGACCAATCAGATCAATAACCAGAGCATAATACCATCAACTGACGTGATACAACTCACTTTGACTCTGAAGATGACTACCGCACAGGTTGTCGAAACGTCAGTCACTGTCAACAACAACAGTCCTATTCAGGACTAAGTTCAACCGGACGATCAAACTCAACCTACTTTTGAATAAATGATGTCTTGCAGCAATTCCTAATCATGTCATGAAAGATATTGTTCATCGTTGATAGGGTTTCTTTTATCGTTTGTCTCATGATTGTCACTCAGATATTGACTGCGACGTTTCGACCGCACACAGGTCTCCTTCAGGTGCGTGATTTACTGAGTAAAGTTCTGCTCAGTAAATCGACGCTATTGCCTGATGAAGACCTGCAGTAAGCGAGCGAAACGTCGCGATCAATATCTAAGTGACAGTTGTGAGACAAACGATAAACGAAACCCTTTATTCCCAATCATTACTAACAGGTTATGAGTGAGAGGATACTTCCCCGGTTCGCCTGGGAAATAGTTATGCTACGTATTGTATAAGCCTGTCAAAATGGCTTAAATCAAAAGAGAAGAAGGAAAAAGTCCTTTTATAACAAATCATAAGTGTCGACTTTAACACTGAAGAATATCAAAAGTAAGGCAAGAGTTTTTGCCCAGCCGTGATGATATTAATGGTCAATAAAAACACTGTATACCACATTTCAATATCTGGACCTGACAGTGTTTCATTTAAATTTATTGATTCGTGTAATAATTTATTAAACGATTTACGTAAAAATAAAAATGCATTACCCCTAATACAGCAATGTGTGGAAAAACTAAATGCTCAAATTGGAAATTAACGACCCAAAAATGTTTCCTGATGAAATCTGAAACATGCCTATCGAAGGCATCATTCTCTCTAAGATCGTAGTAAACGTGTGCCAGGAAACGTCGAAAAAAAATAAAAGACATAGTTCTTTCAGTTGAGTGGCAGTGGAGACGGCGTCTGTATGACAAAGAGAATTATCCATGGAAGTTGGGAAGGGCCAGAGGTATCTACATAATTTTGACTTAAGGATTTTGTATTAATTAACAAACAAGTAGAGTTTCGATCTCTGCCCATGATCGAGGCTGTGGTGGAGGAACATCCTCATCCCCCATCTTTACTAGAGCGATAGCGGGGCTAAAACATATAGGACCAGGATTGTGAGGCCCAACCTTGCACAGAAAAGCTTGGCAATTTACTTTAGCAGTTACAGTTTGTTGAACGGAAGTTGTGACTAACCTCCCGGACTGTTCCAATTTAACAATGTCCACGGCTACAACTGTGGCTTCTACTTGTCCCTTAGTTTTATTGTAGATCAGTGATACGTTTTTACACAGCACCAAACGTAAGTTTGGAGTCGGTTGAGTCGCGCAGCAAAGGCGCCGTGTCTGGTCAATAAAGGCGCTTGGGTATGCGCTCTCTGAGAGATTGTTCTCTGATGCAGTCTCTAACGCGGGACAAAATAGCTGGAACGCCTGCAACTTGAGCAGCTTCAAGTGATCAACCACCTCATGCTGGCGAGAGACAAAAAGTTTTTAAAATCATTTTAAAAAATTAAAGGCGCCAATAAAGTGCTGGAATAAATTATTTATGGTGCGTAAAAAGGGCTAGGGTTAAAATTAGGTTTTGTTCCCATATTTCAATTTCTCGTTATCCGTTTTCCGTTTCCTGTGTCAGTAACATCCTATTACAAAATTAAAAGCAAAAAAAATAGAATAAAAACAAAAAGGGATGTAAAATTTGAGAAAAAATAACCTCTCGCACTTCTTATTTCACTGCCTATTTAATCCTTAAAAAGTTGCAGCACTAAATGTATGTAAATGGCGAGAGACAAAAAGTTTTTAAAAGCATTTAAAAGTTACTTAAAGGCGCCATAAAGTGCTGGAATAAACTATTTATGGTGCGTAAAAAGGGATAGGGTTAAAATGAGGTTTTGTTCCCATATTTCAATTTCCCGTTTTCCGTTTCTTGTGTCAGTAACATCCTATTAAAAAATTCAAACCAAAAAAATGGAATAAAAACAAAAATGGATGTAAAATTTAGGAAAAAAAAATAACCTCTCGCATTTCTTATTTAACTGCTCATTTAATCCTTAAAAAACTGCAGCACTAAATGTATGTAAATGGCGAGAGACAAAAAGTTTTTAAAAGCATTTAAAAAATACTTAAAGGCGCCCATAAGGTGCTGGAATAAACTATTTATGGTGCGTAAGAAGGGCTAAGGATAAAACTAGGTTTTGTTCCCATATTTTAATTTCTCGTTTCCCGTTTTCCGTTTTCCGTTTCTTGTGTCAGTAACATCCTATTACAAAATTCAAAGCAAAAAAATTGAATAAAAACAAAAACGGATGTAAAATTTGAGAAAAAATAACCTCTCGCATTTCATATTTAACTGCTCATTTAATCCTGAAAAAAATTGCAGCACTAAATGTATGTAAATTGTTGATATGAAAAGGACGAAATTAAAACATGATTTACATAAAACAAATGAAAAATAGCAACATGTCAAAATTGCGAATTACCTTCAATTGGAAGCCAGTTAATTTTTCTTTATTTTGGTTTTGTGGTTAAGTAAAATGCTGAAGTCTATAAATGTACAAACCTCGGTTTTAACATATCGCTCTTTGCTGTTTACTGTAATTATCGTGCCGGGAATTATGCCTGCATTTTCCACTTCTTCAGGTAACCAGCCTTTTTCTGTTTTCGATTGTTTCTTTAAAGCAGCTGCTCCAATGTCGACGCAAAAAATATTTCCGTCCACCAAAACTGCATTCTGTGATGATATTCTCTTGATCGTTTGTGCGTAAACTATACGTTTATCCGCTTCCACACAGCTCAGACCTGTTACTAAGGCTTTCTTATTGAATTTAAACGACATTATACCTGCAGCAAAAAGAAACGAGTTGATGTAAAAGTCAACATGATAAACTCAGGAATTTTCCGCATGAATACATTGACAACTAAAAATTCAGAGTTAATTCATTCTGAGCGCTTGAAGGCCAAATGACATTTGCATGTGTCGTAATAATACAATATTTTTTTGAATCGCTGATCATTTAAAGCGCCATCGTGACTAGTAATAAGTGCGAAATGTTCCATGTCATTATGAGGCTTTGTTATAAAGTTCCCTCTAAAAGGCGACCAAAGCAGTGGGATTTTCATCCCTTAATGGTAATGGTATGACTTTCTTAGATTAGGTTTCGAAACGATATATTTTTTAACAGATTCGAAGACAATAGTAAAGATTTCGGTAATTACCCTGTAGCACAATTATGCTTTCGCTTTTTAATATTTTATTACATAGTTTATGTTAGTGAAACTACATTGAACTATTGATGTCCTATCGTGGCAGACAATTGGGTCATTATAGTTGTCAAAAAGACTAAAATTTTACTTTAGCAGAGAAAGTGTTTTTCTTTCTGTTTTTTTCTTCTTAATATGTTTATTATTAGTTTCATAGTATCTAATCTTCATCCACACACAGTGATTGGTGAAGTGTATAGAAG